TAGAAGTCCAAAACACCTTGGAAGGCCCAAGTTTGCCCATGCCTGCTCTAGATGCACCGTTAGGCACCACTAAGGCCATACTGGAAACCCTGAAGGCTACAGTTCCCACAATAGATTTGAGGTTTGGTGAAGCACTTGCCGTCTTTGGATGAGATGGCTAATAACCTTGTAAGGCTACAGCTTCCAGGGTCTCATAGTATTGAGCCATGGCAGTTAAAGCAGTGTGATACCACATTAATCCTACAGTGTAGATATGGCCTAGGACAGTTGTATTGAAAGTGGTAGCTCATGGACTGGTGTGGGTCTCTGCAGAAAGTCGTACAAACAAGGAAACAGTTGTATTGTTAAAGGCTTTCACGTCCAGAATCACTTGGGTGTTGTGCGGCTGTGTGTGGGGAGATAGTGCAGAATATAAATAAAGTGTATTATTATTATTGTTATTATTATTATTATTATTATTTTCTACTCACATTTTGCTTGCATCTGTGACTGGCATCTTCAGAGGTCTGTTGGAAATTAGGTATATATATTCCCAGATACATATATTCCACTTACTTGACCACCATCAGATCCTCTAAAAGGTGCCAGCCAGTTTCAGGCGAAACATCAGGAGCAAATGCTGCTAGAACACATTGGCCAAGTCGTTTCAAGTCGTTTCAGATTTAGGTTGACCCTGAGCGAGAGCCGGGTAAACTACCTTGGAGGGCTGTATCCGGCTCCCCAGCCTTAGTTTGAGGACCCCTGTTCTAAAATGTCTAAAACTCGACTGGGTGTTTGTGGTGTTCTTAAAGGAACCTTCCTTTCCCAACGGAGGTGTCTTAGTCCTTGACTCTAAATAGCCGGTGATGGTTGTTGGCTTGCATCAGGCCCAACAAGGTCTCTTCTACCCTGCCATATAATCCAGATTATCAAAGCAGATAATCCACATTATCTGCTTTGAACTGGAATATCTGAGTACACTGCCATATAATCCAGTTCAGAGCAGACAGTCTGCATTTTATATGGCAATGTAGACGGGTCCCAAGAGCACTCCTTTCTCTTCTTTTAACCTCTCAGGTCCCAGGGACAATCCATGGCTAGTTGGCTACCTCTGCCCATCCTGCTTCCTCTTCCAGCCTTCACTCTTGATTTTGATTCACTGCCAATTCTGTAAACCCACCAATTAAGCACTAGAGTACCTCCACTTTCTGCTCCCAGTAATTTCTCTGAAATCTTTGCGCTGATGTAGAGTGACTGACCCATGACCAGACAGAGTCCTTAGTGGAATAAGAAGTGGAATTCCTGAAGATAACATGAATGCATTCATGTATATTTTTTTCTCTCTCTCTTGAATGGGAAACCCATTGAGCCTCTGCTTCTGCCCCCCCCCCCTTGTTCTTATAGCAAGCACAGGCAGTTGTCTTTTATTAGTCTTGCCTGACATCTTGCTCCTACTGTATTTTTGTAAACCAGAAAGAAGTGCCTCGACATCCTTTATGGCAACGATGTTAAAATGGAGAATGTCATGCATTTGCTTTTCCTGTCCTTGATGGTTCCTCCTTTCCTTTGTCCAGCATTGCAGCCCAGGTGGATTTTCTTCTTGCTGTCGCTTTTTGAACAGCAAGGAAAGATGTAAACATGTTTCTGTTTTCTAAACCTTTCTCCTCTCTCTCTGTTCTCTTGCGCTCTCTGTGTGTGCACTTACGCACGCGCTCTGAGTCATCCTAGTGCAGTTTTCATTAGTGACAAATCCTGTCTCCTGCCTGTTATCTTCTTGCTAACAAGCACAGAGGGAACGGGATTATCTTCCCGCATGTACATCGGCACAGGCTGTCCTGGGGAGATGAGCAGAGAGGACTAGAAAGTGGATACTCTGAAGCAGTGATGTTTGTTTTTCTCTTGATCCCTACTACACATGGACTCAGTTTGCCTGAAATGCTTTATTCTGCCTTGCTTGCTCAAGAAATGAGCAATCAGAAGTGTTATTAGTATCTAATAGTCAGGTTCACGCTGCCTTTTGTGTGTTCCTGCATCCAAGGCTGAAATGCTTTTGGAATCAGCTTTGTCTGAATGTTAATGGCAAATACTGTTGGAGAAGTGGTGATCTGGAAAAGTATGAAGATGCTTCTCACGCCCTAGCTTTTCTAATCTAAAATGGAGCATGGAAGAACACACAAATTGCTCATTTTGTCATCTCCCAGATTTCTGTGAAATACATATGAAGTAGTGTTTTAAAATAATAAACAAGGAGGATGCTTAAAACAATGTAGAAAACGGGATGTGAAAAACTGTGCAATGCAGAATACCCTGAAGAATTTGGTCCAGTTTGGAAGTTTGCCAATTACTTTTGCTTACCTCAAGAAATGTGTCTCATAAATGTGGATAGAATTTGCTGTTGAAGCCTAGGATCTTCTATTCTAAAGCCAAAATAAAATGGCTGGTTATCAAAATATCACTAAAAATTAGAATGGACTAGAAAAATAATGTAACCACAGCAATGAGGAGATGTACAATATAGACTCAGCCAGTGTGGAGTTTAGACAAATCAAGGTGGGCATCCACGTAAACATATGAGGCAATGACCACTTTAATTCAGTTAAATTTACTTTTTTTGTTTCTTAGAATGTAGAATTTATCAAGTACCTCTGTTACCTGGTCCTGAGTGGTCCCTTTTCAAGCTCTGGAGCAAATGTAGAAATTATTGGAATTTTCTACTTTTGGCAAGCTCCTGGCATGAAAAAAAAAAGAGAAATAGTGAAGGTGGAACATAACTGGCTACTTCTTCAAACAGCATCCTTTTCTCTTATTTTGGATCTGATAATTTATTTCTGACACTTATATCCTACCTTTTCTCCAAGGAACCATTTTTTTTTAAAAAATGGTTCTTCTCCCCTGATTGATCTTCACAAATGCCTCATGAGATAATTTATAATAAAAGAGCTAACTGGTTCAAGACCAGAACCATGTATTTCATTTCTAAAAAGGGTTGGGGCTTGTATCATTCCAATTCTAATCTGCCATGCTCATAATGTTTTCATTGTTTTAAAATAATTTATTTATTTAAAACATTTTTATTGTGCCCTTCTCACCCCAAAGGGGACTCGGGGCGGAGCACAGCATATACATGGCAAATATTCAATGCCAGGACACAAATTCACATACACTACATAAACATTAAAAAATATCAAAATATTAAAATACACCATTTAAAACCGTCCTAGTCATCTGCGTCAAATCTAATTGGCCTGGTCATCTTTCCTATTGCCGCTTTATTGCCCTATACCGAAAGCTTGGTCCCACAGCCAAGTTTTTACCTCCTAAAGGACAGGAGGGAGGGGGCCGACCTGATTTCACCAGGAAGGGAGTTCCATAGCCAGGGAGCAATCACCGAGAAGGCCTTGTCTCTCATCACCACCAATCATGCCTGTGACAATGGCGGGACGGAAAGCAGGCTCTCCATGGAGGATCTTAATCCCCGGAGGATCTTAATTTCCCTCCTCCCTCTCCTCGTTTATTGTTCATATGCCTTACATAGTTTTCTTTTAGTTTTAGGCCATACTTATTTTTGTAAGGTGCTGTGAAAGTGATGGTGTAATTCACACCAAAATGAGAATAACTGGAAAGCAGTGCTTAACAGCCGTATTTTTTTTGTTTGCTCTGATTTTTCTCAGCACAAAACTGGGAAACATGGTGGATGAAGGCAGAAATGAAAGATTAGGCTGAGATGCTGATCATCCCCATACTCTGTTGGTATTGTGGAGCATTAGAAGCAAAAAGGTCCACACTATGGGTGGCCTCATGCACCTCAACTCTTTACCTTGAGCAGATCAACGTTTTCGGCTAATGGAGTTCGTGCTCTCCAAATAGGATGTTCTGCCCCACAACTCTGTGTGTTTTATGAGTTCCATTTAAACGTCCTGCCCCTATTTTATCTCATCATAGTTTGTTAATTGTTTTTATTCGGAATATGTGGCCTGCCCATTGTCATCTCTATCGTGATTGTGTCTATTGGAATGTTTATTTTATTTTATTTTATTTGTATTATTATTATTTTATTATTTTTAATGTCATTTTGATAATGTTGTTGTTGTCTGTTGTACATGCTTTGATTTTATTGCTGTATTATGTTGTCCGGGCTTGGCCCCATGTAAGCCGCTCTGAGTCCCCATCGGGGGAATGGTGGCGGGGTAAAAAGCAAGATGATGATGATGATGATGATGATGATGATGATGATGATGATGATGATGATTATTATTATTATCTCAACCTTTTGTGACCCAGGATTGAACTGAAATCAGCAGGAAATAATAATAATAATAATAATAATAATAATAATAATAATAATAAATATCTTCCCGAGGAGACTCAGAGTGGTTTACATGAAAAATTGGCAAATGTTCAATGCTGACAAAGTATAACAAATGGATCAGATCATGAACAATAAAATAAACAATTAAAATTTTAAGTATACAGATAAAACATTTAGGACACATTAACTAATAAATCTAATAAGAATAAACAGTTAAAACATTAAAAGTATTAGGCAATTTGTGGCAAGCCAGCAGTTCTGCGGTAGATTTCCATTCTGCGGTAGATTTCTGAGTCAGAATGTTTAGTAAAGTGCTAATCCTCCTCGGGTGCAGAGAAGGGGGCTTTCTCATTGGAGGTGTTTGTTTATCTGCAGGGCCTCTGACTGGAAACTGGATCAGCCAGATTGGACAGGACGACTCCGCATAACCTCTAAAGGCAAAGTAGCCTATATAAAACTAGAAGACAAAGTTTCAGGTGAGGAATTTGCAAGGTTGACTACGTGTTTCAGGAATGATAGTAGTGATGTTATGAGAATGGTTTTCAAACTTTCTTGATGACAGCTCCCAGAATTCCAAGCCAATGCTCCTAATGGTCATGAACTGAAGTGCCGCAGGCCCAGATCAGAATTTGAGGATAACTGTGTTACAGGGTGCACTCAAATATTTTAAACTTCTGGAGCAATATCTGTGGAAGCATCGCAGCATGTACTTGTCTTGTGTCTTCACTACTATCCTAGGGAGCCGCGGTGGTGCTATGGGTTAAACCCATGTGCCGGCTGGACTGCTGACCTGAAAATTGGTGGTTCAAATCCGCAAGATGGGATGAGCTCCCGTCTGTCAGCCCCAGCTTCCCATACGGGGACATGAGAGAAGCCTCCCACAGAATGGTAACACATTCAGGTGTCCCCTGGACAATGCCTCTGCAAATGGCCAATTCTCTCACACCAGAAGCAATCTACAATTTCTCAGGTCGCTTCTGACACAATAAAAAAAAACCCCCTGCTATCTTACATACCATATTTCTTCAATTCTAAGACACCATTGATTTTAAGATGTGTTTTAATTTCATTACTACCACCACCATCAAACATACATATGATGCACCTCTGATTCTAAGACACACATGTTTGTATAGCAAAAAGTGTGTCTTAGAATTGAAGAAATACAATATTATTATTAAGTGGTATCCTATTTGGTACTTGTTCATATCAGTAGCCACTTTGGGTCTCAATCCAGAAGGGGAAAGGAAGGTACAAATAAACATAGTAATAGCAGTAGTAAACTTTGGATAAATGTCAAACTAATGTTAGGCAGAAGGAAGAAGCACCATTAATTAAGATAATAGAATCATAGGTAGAAGAGGCTGCAAGGGCCATCCAATCCAAACCCTTGCCATGCAGCAGCACACAATCAAAGTACTCCTGATAGATGGCCATTGTTTAAAAACCTCCAGAAAGGGTGATTACACCACTCTCCGAGGCAGCATATTCCACTGTTAAACAACTCTTACTGTCAAGAAGTGTTTCCTAATGTTTAGTGGAATTGTTTTTCGTGCCATTTAATTCATTCCTCTGTGTTCTAGTCTCTAGAGCAGCAGAAAATAAGCTTGCCCCCTTCTTAATGTGACATCCTTTCAGATATTTAAACATGCCAGTGTGCCTCCTCTCTGCCTTAGTTTCTCCAATCTAAACATACCCAGCTCCATCACCTCTGCATAGGGCTTGGTTTTTAGACCTTTTATCATTTTGGTCACCCTTGAATTGAACACGTCCTTGAATTGTGCCCAGAATAGGACACAGTTTTTCAGGTGAAATCTCCCCAAAGCAGAATAGAGTGAGACAGACTTCTTGCCTGTTCGCCTCACCTTATGTGCTGAGCTCCTGTATGACTCGCTCTAGGTATTGGTGTTCTAGCTGTGCAGAAAGCTACTGGCAGGTAGCTTGTTTCCCAATAATTGATTGACCTACTATTTATTTATTATTTATTTATTATTTGCACTTGTTAACCGCCACTCTCAGCCCGAAGGCGACTCGTGGCGGTGTACAGAACATAGAACATAAAGACAACAATTACAATAGATCAGGGTCATAACACACATCTTACTAAACACAACAGCTAACTAAACTAAAAATCCGCTTCGTCTTATTTGGGTCATAGTCAATCTCATGGTCATAATCCATTCCGGTGGTCATTCCAAAAAACATAGCACTTAGTTAAAGGCCTTTTCAAAGAGCCAGGTTTTCAGGCCCCTACGGAAGGCCATGAGGGAAGGCGCCTGTCTGATTTCAGCAGGGAGGGAGTTCCACAGCCGGGGGGCCACCACCGAGAAGGCCCGCTCTCTAGTCCCCGCCAGGCGTGCCTGTGAGGCAGGCGGGACCGAGAGAAGGGCCTCCCCGGATGATCTCAAGGTCCTCGTGGGCTCGTAGGCCGAGATGCGGTACTCAAGGTATTTTGGGCCGGAACCGTTTAGGGCTTTGTAGGTTAGCACCAGCACCTTAAATTGGGCCCGGTAGCTGATCGGCAGCCAGTGGAGCTGGGACAGCAAGGGCGTTGTATGCTCCCTGCGTCCCGCTCCGGTTAACAACATGGCTGCCGCGCGCTGGACTAGCTGGAGCTTCCGGGCCTGTCTTCAAGGGCAGCCCCACGTAGAGAGCGTTGCAGTAGTCGAGGCGGGATGTGACCAAAGCGTGTACCACAGTGGCCAAGTCAGACTTCCCAAGATACGGGCGCAGCTGGCGCACGAGCCGAAGCTGTGCAAATGCTCCCCTGGTCACCGCTGAAACCTGGTATTCACACACGATTAGTCCAGGATCACACCCAAGCTGCGAACCTGTGTCTTCAGGGGGAGTGCGACCCCATCCAACACAGGCTGTAACCCTATACCCTCTTCGGCCTTACGACTGACCAGGAGTACCTCTGTCTTGTCTGGATTTAATTTCAGTTTGTTCGCCCTCATCCAGACCGTTACAGCGGCCAGGCACCGGTTCAGGACTTCGACAGCCTCCTTAGTAGCAGGTGGAAAGGAGTGACAGAGTTGGACGTCATCTGCGTACAGGTGACACCGCACCCCGAAACTCCGGATGATCTCACCCAGCGGCTTCATGTAGATGTTAAACAGCATGGGGGACAGTATGGAGCCCTGAGGAACACCACAGATCAAAGGCCGTGGTGTTGAACAGGAGTCCCCCAATAACACCTTCTGGGTACGACCCTCCAGAAATGACCGGAGCCACCGCAAAGCAGTGCCCCCAAGGCCCATCTCTGCAAGGCGTCCCAGAAGAATACCGTGGTCGACGGTATCGAA